AGCTCCTTCACTCACATAGGCACTAGAATTCCAACCTCATCATCAGAGGTTAACATCATGGTTTGGTGTTGGATAGACCAAAGGTCAAGTCTGGGCTTTACCACTCCTCATATGTGACCTTCAGCAGATCATTCCAGTCTTTGGTGCCTCCATTTTATTAAACAATGGGAACGGTCCCAGGTCCTGTCTCACAGAGTTGTTGAAAGACTCCAGTGATGTAAAGCACTTAGCACATAGTCAGCACTCAGAGTTACTCAGAGTTGGCTCCCAGCACCATGCACTTGCCTAGCCCTATGAATGGAAGTCATGAAGATGAATTTCAAGTATGTTGAGTTACGATGACAAGACCTGGCCTCTACACAGGATTTCAGCAGTGCCTTTGATGTGCTTCTGTGGGTTTTAATCTATCCAGTAATCCCAGAGATAATTGAGCCCTCATTTAACAGATGAGGAAACAAAGGCCAAGAGAAGTGAAATGACTTAACTGAGGTCACACGGGACAAGTCAGAGCTAGAACTCAAAGCCTTATTTGGTGCCAAAACCAGAACTCAGACATGGTTCTCTCCCAATCTCCATTGCAAAACTAAATTCTCTGTTCTCTCCCATTCTTCAATCTGTGAGCTGACTTTTGACCTCTGACCTTTGGGGTCCAAGGACCCTGATGCTGGCGCTCTCTCACCTTGCCCATAGACTTTTGACCCCAAGTTGATCTTTGAGATCCTGATCTTTGTTTTTGTTTCTACTTCCCAAGTTCATGAAGGCTGACCATTGAGCTCTCATCCTTGCCTTCCAGGTGGTGGTAAATGGCAATCCCTTCTATGAGTTTGGGCACCGGATCCCTTTTCAGACAGTCACCCACCTGGAAGTGACTGGGGACATGGAGCTTCAATCTATCAATTTCATTGGAGGGCAGCCCACCCCAAGCCAGGTGTGTGGTGGTCCCTCTCTTGCTTCCTGCTTTCTTTAATTCATTACCACATTCATTTACTTCCTGAGCACATGCTCTGTATGAGTCCTTTGTTGGGTGATACTGGCACCCAGCAGTGGACCAAGACAGTCCACTGAGAAGATGGGCAAGACACCAGACAATGATAGTCTGACCACTAGGTGAATGATCAGGGTCGGGATGGGTGAGGTATAGACGGAGCAGTCAGGACTGAGATGGGAGATACACAGTTGGTTTGGGGAGTCCAAATAAGGGCCTGATTTAGTTATGGGGTCAAACAAGGGTTACCTAGAAGAGAGATGGTGTGTGGAAGCTGAAAGTGAAGGATGAGGAGGAATAAAGAATACATTATGAGAAAACCTGGGAGAAATTGCTCAATACCATTAGTGATTTGGGAAAGACAATTAAAACCTGTATACAGGATGTGGAGGGTGGTGTCCTCTGATCCCCTCTAAATTTACAAGGGGGAACAGAATCACCATCAGCAACATCAGCTCATGGCTGATTCCTATGAGGTTGAGCTCAGACATGCTGCCACCCTCCAACCTTTTTACCAGTTCTGACACCAACCATCCCTCCCACAACATTCTCTCCCTCTCTGCTGAGTTCAATAATTCATTGCAATGGCTGCACAGAACTCTCAGACCATACTTACGATTATGGAGTCTATTAGGGAAATAACAGTCTGCAATTCAGCATCAGGAGTGCTCAGGACACAGTTCTTTGATCAGGACAGCCTCCTCTGAGCTGTGTAGAGAAATAGGGAAAGATAGATATGGGGCAGAGTCAGAGAGAAACAGAGAGGTAGACAGACAGAGACACAGAGACTGAGAGAGCTTGAGAGACAAGGGAGAGACAGGGAGAGCCTGCTTGGCTGATTCCAAGACTCCCAATTGTGGCAGGAATGTTGAGTGAAGGACAACTTGCAGTTTTAGATGAGGTGAGCAGAGACTACTATGTGAGGTCTGGGAAGGTGTTCTGGGGAGTTTACACTTTATAATGTGGTTTCTGGGTTGCAAGAGTAGAGAGGAATGGGTGAGGGCCCTAGGAAGGAATGAGAGTATAGGGGAGAGTACAGAGAATAGAATTTGCCAGATGTTGTCCTAAAGGGGTGGTGTGAGGTTCACTGCATTGGAGATCCCCGAACATGGAGGGTCCCTCTCCACTACTCTGCCGTCTGGGTGCCACCCTTTGATTTCAGAGTTCCTTTGGACAGTGGTAGTGAGCTTCCCCAGGAAAGGCATCCTTGACACCCTCCAGTCTTTAGTTTGGGGTCCTCCTTATCACTTCTTCTCTTTTTGTGCCCACAGGGACCCATGGTTATCCCGGCATACCCAGTAAGTACCTGCTAGTGGTTTCCCCTTGAAGTGGGGACTCAGTAATTGAGGAGGTCCTGGGGCAGCTGAAGGCCCCCAAGCCCTCCTTCTCACTCCTACTTCCTATCCTCCTGTGTAGGGTCCTGTGCAGAGCCACCCACCACCAAATAGCCTGCCTGTAAGTGGGAGGGTTGTGTGGGCCAATGATGGTGGGATGGTGAGAACGGAGAGGCTTAGTTGTCAGCCCTGTTGTGCTAATCCAGCACCTAGAGAGAAATGCCTGCACATAGTAAATGTGCTATAAATATTTGTTGAATATTGTGGAATAATATCTTTTCTTCCTCACTTCACAGACCATGGAAGGACCCCCAACCTTCAACCCGGTATGGTATCCTTCAGGGGTTATGGCTCTGTGGTGGGTGATTTGAGTCCTGCAGGGACTCATGGCAGGGAAAGGGCCCTGATCCATGGGGAACTCTCAGAGGGTTGTGAATATAATGGGAGAGGGGCATTTGGGGACGGAAGTGGGGAAAGGATAGAGGTGGCATCAGAGTGAGGGGAGGCATAAAGGTTGGGGACACTACCCAGGAGGCATAAGGCCCTTCTCTGAAAATTCATTTCTGCATCTGGCTGCTGATGACCTGAGAGAGGATGACATCCCATATTCTCTTCCCACAGCCTGTGCCATTTGTGGGGAGACTGCAAGGGGGGCTTGTAGCCCGAAGAACCATCATAGTCAAGGGCTTTGTACTCCCCTCAGCCAAGAGGTACAGGACCTGGTTCGAGGTGGGAATCCCCAGCCCCCTTCTGCCTCAGACCCAGCAGTCCAAAACCCCCATTTCCCCCCACCCCCGAGACTCGGGAGTCCAGGCCTCAGTCTCCTCCTCCCTTGAGGATCCAGAAATTCCTGTCTGACTCCACTTCCCTCTCTGCCCCAGCTTTACTATCGACTTCAAGGTGGGAGCCTCAGGGGACATAGCCTTGCATATTAACCCTCGCCTGAACGAGCGTGCAGTGGTTCGGAACAGCTGTTTGAATGGCTCTTGGGGATCTGAGGAGAGGAGTATTTCCTACAACCCATTTGGTCCTGGACAGTTCTTTGATGTGAGTCTGGGTTCTTTCCCCCACTTCCTTCCAAGGCCTCTGTCCTAGTCCTGGCATCATGCCCACCCTTTTCCCTGCAGCTGTCCATTCGCTGTGGCATGGATCGCTTCAAAGTCTACGCCAATGGCCAGCATCTCTTTGACTTCTCCCATCGCCTCATGGCTTTCCAGACGGTGGACATGCTGCAGATCACTGGTGATATCACCTTGTCCTATGTCCAGATATGATCTATCTCTGGGGCTACAGCCCTTGGGAACACAGGATCACCTAGGGCCCCCTTCAAAGCCTCTAATAAAATGTCTGAAGGTGTCTCATGAGTGTCCGTGACTCTGCCGTCTCCCTCATTGTTTCTTCCTTGGTTCCATCCATTCATTGAGCATCATCCATCCATCCATCAATCGCCTGTCTATGCATCATGATAAATCTAGTTATGTGCCAGGCAGTGATCTTAGGGCTTTACTTGTGTCAACTCATTCATTGTTTACACCAGCTTCAGGAGATAGAAGCTATTATTATCATTGCTGTGCGAGCGATAGATGATGAAACAGGTACAGAAAAATGAAGCATATTGTCCAAAAATCACACAGTTCATAATTGACAGAACTAAATTCAAATTTTAATAGAATTCAAATCCAAGTGGTTTGGCGCCCAGGGCATCATGCTCAACCACTGCAGGGCTTCATTCCATATTTCCATACACCCAGTTATCCACCCATCCATCCCAACTTCCATCAATCTCTGCATGCATCCATCCAACCACAATCCAGCCAGCCTGTCCTCCGTCCAAACGTTCAACCATTCATCTACTTCTCCATTCATCCATCTGTTTGTCCAACCATCCTTTCATCCAATTTTTGGTCCATCTCTCCACCATCCATCTCACCATGTAACTCTGGGGTCTTTTTTCATCAATCTCTCCAAACATTTATCCAACCATATCTTCATTCATCCAAACATCCAACCATTTATTCACTCACCTATTTCTCCATCTATTTGGCTGTTTATATAACCCTTCATCTACCCACCCACCTATCATTCTCCCCATGCATGCATCCATCCACACATCCAACCAACCAACCAACCAATCATTTGTCCACAAATTAATTTGTCTGTTCATTCTACCATCGTTATCCATCCATTCATTCCTTTATTGTTCATTTGTCCATATAATTCTCTGCCGACCATCCATTCACCAATTGTCTTGGTTCTCTGGTACTGCTGTAACAGAAATACCACAAGTGGGTGGTTTTAACAAACAGAAATTCATTTTCTTGAAGTTTATTGGTTAGAAGTCCAAGATCAGAGCATCGGTTCTAGGGAAAAGCTTCGTCTCTCTGTTGGCTCTGGAGGAAGGTCCTTGTCTCTTCAGCTTCTGCTTCCTGATTCCTTGGAGATCTCCACGTGTCTTGGCATCTGTCTTACCCCATTGCTGCTCAGTCTCTTACATGTTTAATCTCATTTATATCTCAAAAGAGATCGAATCAAGACACATCCTGCACTAATCCTGTCTCATGAACATATCAGACAACTCATTTCCAAATCGGGTTATAACCACAGGCTTGTTGTTGTTGTTATGTGCCGTCGAGTCAATCCCAACTCATAGCGACCCCTCCTTGGGTTTCCGAGGCAGTATCACTATGGAAGTAGGATTGCCCAACCTTCCTTCCGAGGAGTGCCTGGTGGGTTTGAACCGCCAGCCTCCACAGGCTTAGAGGTTAGGATTTACAACACATATTTTTGGGGACACAATTCAATCCATAACACCCATCCACTCATCCATCCTCCATTTGTCCTCTAAGTATCCATTAATTCCTACATTCACTCATCCATCTCTCTCTCCATCATCTCTACCCATCCAGTTATCCATTCATATCTTCATTATATTCCTCCATCTTTTTCCAATTATATATCCACTCATTTTTCTCTCCACCAACTACTTCCATCCTTCCATCCATCTCAGATCATGTATTTCTTTTGGTTCAATCATTCATTGTTTATGTAATCATTAATCATTTATCGTTATTTTTAAACATTCATAATTTATTATTTGTATTTTCATTCATCCATCCATTCTCTTTTTTATTCATTCACTCTTGTATTCACTCACTCATGTACTTGTTCATTTATCCGTCAGTCATCCATCAGTGTCTATTTCTCATCTGTTCATCCATTCATCCTTCCGTTTATTGTCTCATTCATCTAGACTAGTGGTTCTCAAACCTGGCTGCACATTAAAATCATTTGGGAGCTTTGAAAAAATATTGATACCTGGGTCCCAACCCATGCCAGTTAACAGGTTGAACCATATAAAACTGTTATTTAAAAAAAAAAAATTATTGTGATTTGGGTGAAAGTTTACAGAGCAAATTCATTTTCCATATAGCAGTTCACATAATTTCCTACACTGCAATAACAGCTGTCTACCCACTTTCTCCCTATAGTTACCTCTTCCCTGTGTCCTTCCCTCCCATGCACTCCTGCCCCCCAAGCTATGTCCCTGTGCATACACAGCCTTTCTATTTTCCCATGACTGATCTTTCCAAGGAGTGTGTGTATCTATCTAATGTAATGTTCAGCTCATTTGCCTGTCTTTTGTTTGGCTGGAAGCCACAGCAGTGGGTTCAATTCCAGACCTGAAGGGCAGCTAGGGGCCATAGTCTCAGGGGTTCCACTAGGCTCAAGCAAACCTGGTCCCCTGACACCCCCCACTTTTTAATGATTTTGAGTTTTGTTCCAATTATTCTCCCACTCTATCCAGGATCTCCTACACAGATCCCCCTCTGAGTGGTTGACAGTGGTAGCTGGGCATCATCTAGTTCTTCTGGTCTCATAGTCATACATGACTATGAGGATCGCATGGTGTACCAGTCCCTTGGACTAATTGTTTCCGTGCATCTTTGGTTTCTTTCCTTCTTCTTTGTTCTGGACAAGGAGAGACCCATCATTGATGCAGATGGTTGCTTGCAAGCTTTTAAGATCCCAGTTGCTACTCACCAAAGTAGGATGTGGAGCAATGTTTTGTGTAGTACGTTCTGCCAATTGAGCTTGATGTCCCCTGCAACCATAGTCCTGAGCCCAAAGGTCCAACTACTCGCTCCCTCCAGGTAGCTGGCTATGACCAAGAAGTGACAACAATCTTGTCCCTTGTCAGCTTTACTATATACCTTAAAATTCTTACAGAACATACAAATACACTTGTAGAAACATTGTCTGCCAACCCTATACATGGTCATGGGCACACTCCTCCCTGCATAGACATACCTAATCATTCAGCCTGTCTACCCATTTATCTGCCCATAGAACAATGTTTGCCATCACTGACAATGCAGTACTGTATGTGCAAAAGGCTTTATCTTTGTTGTCTGTACCTCCCATGTACCTCTCTATGTCTTCCTCTTCCTTAATACCACTGTGTTTATCACTCATATTTGGTACATTGCCCTTCCCTTCACCCAAATCAATATTTGTCTATCTAACAGTGTTCCCTCCCCTCCCCTCCCACTCCTGGGAACCAACAAAGAAAATTTCCTTCAATAGATAAACCTTTCCTTAACTTTTACAATAACAGACTAATACAATATTTGTCCTTCTGTGATTGACTTATTTTACTCAGCATAATGTCCTCCAAGTTCATCCACATTATGTGATGTTTTGCAGATTCTACGTTATTCTTTAGGGTTGCATAGTATTTCTTTGTGTGTATGTACCATAGTTTGAGGAGCTCTGGTGGTGTAGTGCCTAAGGCATTTGACTGCTAACCAGAAGGCTGGTGGTTCAAACCCACCAGCCACTCCTCAGAAGGAAGGTTGGGCAATCTACTTCCACAGTGATATCGCCTTGGAAACCCAAGAAGGGGTTGGTATGAGTTCAATCTGATTCGATGGCAGTGAGTTTGGTTTGGTTTACCATAGTTTGGTTATCCATTCTTCTGTTGATGAGCACCTAGGTTGTTCCCATCTTTTGCTATTGTAAACAGTGCTGTGATGAACATGGGTGTACACGTATCTGTTCTTGTCCTGGGTTTCACTTCTTTAGGATACATACCTAGTAATGGGATTGCTGGATTAAATGGTATGTCTAATTCCAACTTTTTAAGGAACCTCCGTACTGCTTTCCACACTGGTTGTATCATTTTACAGTCCCACCAGCAATGTATGAGAGTCCCAATCTCTCCACATCCTTGCCAGCATTTGCTATTTTCTGTCTTGTTGAACTTTGCTACTAGTGCTGGGCCAAGGTGGTATCTTATTGTTGTAAAACTGCTATTTTTATGGATGGAAAATGGTTACATACCCATAACTGTATCCATTTCAGCCTAGTAAATCAGTAGTGGTGTGTTGCTTGAATAAATTCTTTTAGAAGGATCAGCACAAGGCTGTTTCCTATGAGGTGGAGGTTAAAGATGTTCCAAATGTCCAACTTTTCCAAATTGCTGTATCACTCCCATTATCTCTAACATCAACTCTTCCTTCTCCCCTCTGTGTGCTCCCTCCTATCTTGTTGTTGTTGTTGTTATGTGCCATTGAGTCGGACCCGATTCATAGCGACTACACTACCAGAGCTCCTCCCTCCTATCTTAGGGTTCCATATTTTGCTGTCTCACAGAACTCACAACTGCCAAGGGAATTGTTGATGCTGTTGGGGAGGCTGGCAAGTCTCAAATCTGTACGTCGAGCATTGGTTTAGAGGATTCTCTTCACTCATGTGGCTGCAGGGGCTGATGAACTCAAACGGCCAGGTCACATGACTGGCTGCTGTCTCATCGCCCAGAACTGGGGTGAGATGACCAGAATCCAAAGCAGGACAGCGAACTCTGCCAGAGCATTTACATGTACACCCTCAAGGAAGCTAAGGGTAGTGACTTGAGTTACACCCTCCAGCAAGGGAGGACTCAAGATACATCCCACCCTAATCCTGCCTCATCAACGGAACAGACAACTCACTCCAATATGGGACGATAACCACAGGCATGTTGTTGTTGTTATGTGCCATCGAGTTGGACCCGACTCGTAGCGACCCCTCCTTGGGTTTCCAAGGCAGTATCACTACGGAAGTAGATTGCCCCATCTTCCTTCCGGGGAGTGGCTGGTGGGTTTGAACCGCCAGCCTTCTGGTTAGCAGTCAAGTGCCTTAGCCACTATGCTACCAGAGTTCCCAACCACAGGCATGTTGTTGTTGTTGTTGTTATGTGCCGTCGAGTCGGCCCCGACTCATAGCGACCCCTCCT